CTTCAATTCAAGCCGCACAGCAAGCTCTACCTCTCAGCAGTAGACAAGCTATATCGTATCGCACGATCTCGCTCTCCATCAGATATTTCGCTCTCAATCGTGCGAATATGTCGTTGAACATGAAACGCTGGAAACGGAGGGTCTGAAGGGGTTCAAGGAGAATATATCGGTTGCTTGTGCCGAGAGAGAAGAACATTATCTAAACAAAGAATCCAAGGATAATGAGGGTCTAGAAGTGTACGGAATGTTGAAGGAAGGAATAGGAATCAAGGATTACATACATGGCCCAATGGATGCAGGAACAAAACGCAAGGTCAAATTCAGGACCGGGGACATAGGCCTTCGAGAACGTCGACGAAGACACAGGACGGTAGACGACGAAGACGACAAGTACAATTGTGATTGAGGCTTCGAGTGCCAAGACCGTGTTCATGTAGTCGCGGAATGTCCGTGGTGCAAGAAGGAGAGGGAAGCTTACATGACTAAGCTGGGAAAAATATATGGGAGGTACAGGGAGATGTTTGAGGCATGGGATAGAGAGGAGCAGACGGTAGCTGTACTGGGGCATAAGAGGCTGGTTGAAAAGATGGGAAAGGACATCGTTAGGATAGACAGACTAGTGAAGACATTTTTGCGCCACCTTTGGCAAAGTAGAAAGGAACGATTGGCCATCGGTGATCGGTCCTGTGGGAACAATGCNCAATGCTCCGTCCTCTCGAGGACGCGTGGTCAATGGTCTAACCACTAAGGCATGCAAAACATAAGAGTACGCGCCCCACCCCCCCTCCCCCCCATAGGTGTCGGATGCCGTCGAGGCTAAGGCTATTACTAGAGCTTGGTCGGTCTTCTCTCGGTGCGATACCACACCACGCAAACGAACCATGCGTAACATGTCGACGTCCTCCGTGTGCGCCCCCCCGTCCTCTCGAGGGATGCGTCGTTAGTGGTCAAACAGCTAAGGCATGCAAAACCATGAGTGCGCCCACCCCCTGCCTGAACGGCATTTCAATGGAAACTCAAAATACCACATAGAGCGTTCCACAAGGCTGTACCTTGTACCTCTTGTGCCCCCATTTCTTCGACGAAGGTCATTGCTCATCGTCTTGACCTGGACGTTTCGGCACATTCACATCGCGCTAGACACCATCGTCCTGTACGGCATGCTCGGGGCACCGGCGGCGACCGGGCACTATGAGGGCCCCGATGCCCAAAGGCGTTCTCCAGCCGTCGCCACCACCCCTGGATCAAATCCCCGAGGCTCTTCTAGCTGCAGTAGGCCTGGATCAAATTGCGGGGCCTCGCCAAATATTGGCGAGATGAGGAAGGCAAGCTCTTGGAAAGGTCGAGTCTCCTGTTCTTCGAGCCGGAGCTGCTAATATATATCCTTTACTTGGAAGGGGAAGACGTTATATCTCTTGTGTTAGACACGCAAGGGGAGTAGGGAGAAGGGAAGCCCGCGTTGGAGTTCGAGGGGTCCCCGCACATGCAACCATTTCAAGGTGTACATATGCCCCATATGCGTGCCCTCTGTTGTTGCCGGTAGATCTATCCAGTCCGTATCCAAACACACGAACACCCTCCCCGGTTTGCACGCGAATGGCAAACCTAACGTGGGGCATGGATACCCCTGATCTACCAGTAGGACTCAAAACAAGAACAGGCTCGAGGGAAAACCCGGCCAACCGGATCAAAAACCCTCGTCTAGCACCCCAAATGGAGAAATGCCGTCGCTATCACGGAGGATTCCAACGGCCGCAATTCCAAGACAAGACCAAGGCAGGACAGATTGAACCGGTCACGCTGGTTACACGCGCGAGGCAACACTCTCGGCGTTACTAGGCTGCAGCCGCGGGTGACGCGCCGGCACAACGCTTCCTGCGTGACGTACCATGGTCATATATGCCAAGTGCTAAAACCACCGCATGAACCAAACAGAACAAGAGAACACTACATCGGTAGGTTCATCAGAGCCTTCCAGTGGTACTCTAACTTCTCTCTGCCAAGGACCTTGGACAGCATGTCGGCGTGCTGCTCTCCAGTCGGAACATACTCTGCAGTGATCTTGCNTCCCGGCTGCTATATACTCTGCTTCCGAGGTCGACTGAGCCGTCACTAGCTGCGTCTTGGTGGGTGCACACACTACGGTACCACCTACGGCCACAGCTAGCCCGGTCGTAGAACGCCTGTCTACTTCGTTGTCAGCGTAGCTGGCATCGACAAACACGCTTAGGTCTAGTCCTGACCCCCGTACGTAGGTGATGACGAAGTCCTTCGTGAAGTTCAGGTGGACATGATCCGCACAAGCGCGTTCCATATCCTCCCGGTGGGTGAGTGGGCGATCTTCTGGAGCTTGTTCAGAGGCACGGCGATGTCTGGCCTCGTCGGCTTCGTCCGCATCAGGAATCCGATCGCCCACCTCACAGCCTTATCCACTGCGGGCTCGTCATCTCTCTTCGGCCCTAGGTCGGCATCGGTGGCAGCAGGGGTGAAAGCGGTCGTGGTCACATCACACCGCTTCAGCATACTCTCAATGTATGCTGTCTGGGACAGCTTGGGGATGCCATTGTCTACATCCATGGCGATAGCACACCCGTCAACCCAGGTACACTCCCCCATACCTTTTACGGGAAAATTCTTGTTGAGGGAAGCGAACAACCCCTCTCGCTCTCCCTCGTCTGCCGCCACTAAGATGTCATCAACGTAAATCACGATGAGACCTACGACCTCTCCATCCACCACCTTCCGGAAGACACACGGGTCAACCCTGCACTGCTCGTATCCATTCTCGATGAGGGCATCGGCAGCTTCAACCCCCCACTCACGGCCACTCTGCTTTAGGCCATACAGGGCACGCTCAACCTTGACCACCTTGCCGGACATGCTACCATGGCCTTCCGGGAACCTGAGGTATATTTCTTCGTTTAGCGTAGCGTGGATGTACGCTTGCTTCACATCCCAGTGATCGAGTTTCTTGCCCTTTTCAGTGGCTACGGCAATCATCGTCTTGATAGACGCTGCAGGCGGGCACGCTGAGGATGAGTGGTGGAAGTCAATGCCGGGGATTTGAGAGAAACCCCGCGCAACCATACGGGCCTTGAAGTCGACTATCAGGCCCTTCTCATTCGTCTTCCAAGAAAACACCCACTCTGAACCTATGGCTTTCCGTCCCTCGGGCAGCTCCATGACCTTGGTAAAGGTTCCAGTCTTGTCGCGGCCATCTATCTCTTTCTTCATGGCCGCCACCCAGAAAACCATGCACTTGGAACACATCACATCCTTGTACGTCATCGGCACTGCTTCCACATCACTCGGCTTCTGCCCGATTGGCGAGGTCATACTTAGCTGTGGGTCTGGGAGTGGTTGCGAAGACCCGCTGGCGTCGACCTCGGCCCCGAACGCCTGCTGTTCCGGGCCCAACACCTCCTGCATCTCGCGCCTGTACATCTCCTCCATACGGCGTGTCTGCTCCTCGTCCCACTGCTCCTTCACAAGCGAGTTGCAGATGTAGTCCTCAACAATCCCCGTCCCGCCAGTTTCCAGGATGGTCGCCAGCAATGCCTCTTCCGGGTCCGGTGTTTCTCCGGGCCCCGGCATCTCCCCGGCACCTTGCATCTCCCGGATCTGCTTCCGCGTGCGGCCACTCTCAAGCCCATGGCGCAGCGGGCCAGCGTTCGAGGCCCCCCCAGAGGAGTTTCTTTCCTTCTAGCCCGCGAGGGTAGCGGTCGTCGGCTGGAACATACTTCAACTCCTCGAGGTTCTCGGAGTTGCCGGGATCACCATCGCTACCGCCGTCCCCACCTGCGTCGCCGGACTCTTCGCCGCCCGGGCCGCCGGCACCACTGGCGTCACTGCTGCTGCTGCTGCTGCTGCTGCTGCTGCTGCTGTCGGTTGGGCTGTCACTACCTCCACGTAAGTCGCCCCTTCCCGAAGGGGGCGACGGGGGAACGCTGCCCCCGTCCCCCGGAATCCCGTTGCCGGGTGCCGTCGGCGCCTCCTCGGGCACAAACGGCGTCGCTTGCCCTGGCCCACGAGCCTCCACCACGTCGAGGTCGGACTCGCTCTCTGAGTCTCTCTCCCCCTCCCAACCTTGGCGTGATGTATCCGCTCTGCTCTCGCTCTCCCCGGCCTCCTCGTCATCTGCGAGAGGTAGCAGCTGCGGGGGAGCGGGCGATGCAGCGGGCACGTGGCGCAAGGTGAAATTGCGGGTGGTGATTACGGTTCCAGCTTCGGTTAGCATGCGAACGCAGTCACGGGGGTGATTGTGGGCAGGACCAAGGTACCATCCTTTTTTGCCCTTGGGTAGCGACTTTGCCTTTCTTCTCGACTTGAACACGGCTGGTTTGAGAAACGGATATGTAGACCCGACAGGCGATGGGGAGTCGTGGAACATCTCGTAGGCGGATTTGTCTCCCTCGTTTGATTTAGTGGCGGTGCAGTTCAGCTGATGGCATGCACACGAAATGGCCTCGGCCCACAACCCGGGGTGGTTCGGTGCGTCGGGGAACAGTTGCGTCGCTTGGATGCGTGACGCAAGCGCGGCATCAGTGATCAACCCTAGCGCTCTCTCCGCTACACCGTTGTATTTTGGGGTGTGAGGGGGGGTGAACTCTTGTTTGATGCCGTGTCTGCGGCAAACTTCCGCAAACTGCCCCTGGAACTCGCCGCCACCGTCGGTACGTGCGATATAAACCTCACACGGAACCCCTTTCGTTCGGTAGTCCGCCAGGAACTTCTCAAACCCAACCGCTGCGTCAGACTTGTGTTTCAAGAAGAAAACACGCGTCCAACGGGAGAAATCGTCTCTGATGATCAGTGTGTACCAGTTGCCACCAATGCTCCTGGTTTTCATCTTTCCCCCCAAGTCGAGATACACGCGAAATAACTTCTTAACTGCGCGTGTGCTCGTGCTCTTCTGGACGGGTTTCACCTTTCCCTTGGACATCGAACAGCCAAGACAGGGTAGCAGCGGTCCATCCGTCAGCTGCACTCCCTGCTGCTCCGCCGTGATCCTGAGCAATGTCTCGTGGGCATGGCCGTGCGCGAGGTGGTACTCGTTGAGGTCAGTGGGGTTGGCTGCTTTCTGATCGCCAGGAACAATGAGTGCGGCACAGGCGGTGTGTAGCGTTGGCTTTATTTGATAGCCTCGTTGGGTCAGCAGCTTTCCAGTCCGGGGGAACCACACCTCCCCCCCGGCTTTCGTGGTCAGCGTGAGGCCCCCCTTCATCCCCGAATACGTGTGGCCCTCCTCCGCCAAAGAAGACAGCGAGAGGAGGTTGTAGGGAGCCTCTGGTACATGGGCAGCATTC